GGGGGGATGGCCACACCACAATCCTTCTCCTCCATTCTCCTCTCAGGATCTTGGGCACATACACACACGTGCCCAGCGTGAGTTTAAGCCACTGGGTCCGGGACTCGAATGGCAGTTGACTACATGGGAGTCCGGCAACATAGTTATTACGTTAACAGCTGGTTCCCTGACATGTAATTTTAAACATAATTTGTAGTTTAATGTTCAAAACTGGAAGAACTATAAAGCGTGGTGAAACAACACATTACTTTAAAAAACATTTGTTAGTGCAAGATGAATTTCAATGTAACAGAATATGAAATACTCAGTGATACAGTTTCAGATTTCACCTTGCAAATAGCCTTTAAGAAGCTAATACATGCTGGGGCCAGCAGGTGGCATAGTGGTTAAGGTGCTTGACTAACACCTGGCCAACTGTGTGCATGCTCAAGTGCCCTATGGCAAACAAATCTTAAAAAAAAAAAAAAAAGGCAAGCTAACAGGTGTCATTGTAGTGGTAGTGAAGATGAAGTCCACGGTTATCTGAAATAATTCTTTTTTTTTTTGAGAAGTTTTTGCTATAGAGAATGTGCACTTGCCAGAAAGACCTGAGAGAGACAGAGTGAGAAATCACCCTTCAGGGAGGATAGCCATGCTGCAAACGCTTCTCCTCCTTTCTACTCTCAGGATCTTGGGCATGCACGCACACGTGCCCAGCGTGTTTAAGTCACCAGGTCCAGGACTCGAACCGTGTTCGACTACATGGGAGTCCAGCGACATAGCCATTACGCCAACTGCTGGTCCCTCTGAAATCATTATTAAAAATAATTTTCCTACATATACATGTAAGGTAAAATTTTTTTCATATACTTCAACCAAAATAACAGATTAAATATATAAATAGCAATGTTCTAATGAGACAGATATGGATTTCCAAAAATGTAAAATGTAAAAAGATCCATTCTTCGAACTATACTGTTTTATTTGAGAAAAAAAAAGTTATTTCTCATAAAAATATTTTTGTTCACAAGCCTAAGGATATTAACACTCAAAATACATTAAATATTTTAAAGGGTTTTAATTACCAATATGCTAAATATTGATGGACATAACCCATATAAACAAAATTACCTTTGGAATCCTCAGTAATTCCTAGGAGCATGTAAGATCCTGAAACCGAAACGTCTGAGAAACGCCGACTTCACAGCTTCTGTCCAGGTCTCAGGGGAACAAGATAACAGAGCTCCGTACAATAGGAAAGGTCAGGGCAAAGTCTGGGTTCTCAGTCCCGAGGGCGGAGTCCTGGGCGGGGAAGCCCGGCACCGGGGAGGTTCCTTCTCCCCAGCTCTCACTCCCATTGGGCACCCTGTTCTCACAGGAGCCAATCAGCGCCATCGCGGCTCCTGTTTATAAA